ATTTTCAGCTTTTTTAGTTTCTTGCTATTTTTCAGTATTAAATGCTATATATAAGGTGAGTCAGTTAGTCTAGTTAAATGATAGGATTTCTGAAACTTCATTCACAATTATACCTAGTTTATATAATATTAAAGCTCTTGATAATGGATAACATAATCTCTTTGTAAACCAAGATGTGAAACTAATATTTTGTGCCAGAGAAACTTCAATTATCTAATTTCTCTACAAGTTCTGTATTATAGGAATATAATATATTTTTTCTATAGCAATATTCCTTACGGCCAGAAACAAGTTCCTTAAATAGTCATAGATTTTAAGAGGAAAATGAGCCTTAATATTTAAGAAATGGAGTAAAGTATCTGCTTTAATTTTGAAAATCATTTCAAGATATTTTCTTTATATAACTTGGCTCTTAAGTAGATATTTCTGGCTAGCAATCCATTGATAATTTCCAATAGGTAAATTTTAACTCATAGCCTATACATAAAGTTTAATCACATTGATATATAAGATCCAAATTATGAGTTGTGATTGATCATAGATTTCTCATATTTTAGGATTATTAGCCTTAAAATATCATTAGTAAGCTATAGATATACCCTCACGCTTTGCTTTTTCAATAAAATCATATATATCTATTTCTTTGAAATGCTCAATACTTACTCCAGTTATTTTTAACATAGCATTTTAGGAATATAATGACTAGGATCAATCCCATTATATTCTATAAACATTTTTCATAACTATGTCTAGATATCTGTAAAGCTACTTTACTGAAACATGTGAAATCACAACTGTGTGGCAGCTACACATCTGCTATTTATTATGGTAAATGTATTGTTACTCTAACTTTTTCATCATATAGCGATATATATTCTATATAGAAAGTGTATGGTAAAATATAGTAATAGTAAAGAATCTGTATCACTAATGCATATAAAATGTACTGTTAATTAAAGTATTAATAAAGTAAATACATAAATTATTTAAAGTAAATATGTAAATTATTTAAAGTAAATCTGTAAATCATTTAAAGTATAAATAAAGTTAATGTATTGTTTATTTATAGATTATGTAACACACATTTAATGTTAAAATACAGTTTATTTGCAGTAAATACAGTAAATACATATTATATATTATAATAGCATCATGGTAATTTCTATTTAAAACTTGTACAAAAATTCAACAAAAGTGCTGAAACATTATTTCAACACGCCTTTCTAAGAAAGAAAAAACATTATTAGCATTATTTAATGAAGTAAAAAATGAAATTACAAGCCTTTTACCTTAAATTTGTTATTATGTTATACGCATACTTAAATAGCTTAAAGAAGAATGAGTTTATTAAATAATGAATATTTTCTAAATGAATATTACCACAGCATCTTGAATCACAATCGTGTACAAAATGTACATTTCGATTTTCATCCACAACCGTTAAGGGAAAAATCTTATGCCAAGTATTATTATAACAAAGGGAATATAGCGGACAATCCAATTTGTTGTGATTTCAATGGATGTCTTCAAACCAATTCACATATATAAATGAATAGTAATATCCATCATTGCTCTTATGCTTGAAAATTCCCTTGACTATTGCGTAACTTTCACCATAATCGGCTACTTGAATCATCACTACATCGTTCGTGTTTAGATTTAATGGTATTTCATTATTTTGTGCATTATGTAAGTAAGACACTTGTTCGTAAAAATTACAAGTCTTATTGATCAATGACGCGTAATATCCAAAGCTGTTATAAGCAAGAGCCAAATCAGTTTGAAATGAAACTGCATCAATTTCGATTTTTGCATTTCGAATTGATAATGGCTTTCTCAGCTTTATATTTCGAATGCAACTAGATTGTGAACATACTTTGAAAACAAAATTAGTATGATATTTTCAGTTACAGTAATAAAGAAATATATTATTATTACTTTCTGATTCGTCATCATCATCCACATTTGAATTTTCCATAATAAACCAATTTTTGAATAAGCATTTAGAATCTTGAGATATATTCATAAAATTAGCACTAGATTGTAAGTTTTGAAGGTCAATTTCTCCATCTGCAAGATGTCGAATAGACTGTAGAGTTGTATACTGTTTTAACAAATCAAAATCAACATTCTTACGATTTGTATGTGAAACCAAATTTTTAAAGATCTTATGAAATATCTCTTTTACTCTAACTTCGATATTTGTAAGGGTTCTAAAGGTTCCTGCATGTTGCAGTAAATGGTAATTGGCGTGAAGATTAGAAAGGCTTACAAATTCATCAAATAGCTGCATTTAACATAATATAGTTACTATTTAACTGAAAAACTAAGTATAAGAATATAGTTAACGTTAATAAACAATGTATTATATAATTAGTAAAATAAAAATAAAACAATATACTTACTTCAAATTAAATATATTTACTTCTGTATTACATGTTGGTTAGTCCATTTTGCAATGTATATATAAAATCTTACTTTAGTCAATACTTGTCGTTCTTTTTTCAAATACTTCTCAAGCACTTTGTAATCGTCTTCAGTTAATGAAATCTTTAATATTAGCTGAGTGCATTTTGCTTTGATTGCCCAGCATTTGATGATAGCATTGATGACTTGATTGCGATGAAAGTTTGTTCTTTCTTGTATTTTTGCTAATTCTTGTGATTTAAACAATTAATAGTTAAAAATCTATTTAGTATAAATGGCATCACCATTCCCAATCGCAGGCAGTCCAACATCATGAAACTTTCTATATGGCTAATAGGATTTAGAATCTTCGACCATTGATGAAAACATTAAAATGATTTCCAAACGCTAATGAAATTCCGTTCGCCTTCTGGGAATAGCATTGCAATTGTTAGTTTAAGTAGCTTCAACATTTTTTCAGCTACTAGATGGTAAGGATCCTGTAGTAACTATATATTAAGTCGAAATGGATCATTTTGGATATCCAAAATGGTTGAAATGGTCGAAATCATTTCAATTATTGAATGCTAAAGTCGCAAAATAGTCGAAATGATGTCATATCACATGATTTTTCATATTGAGAAAAAACAATAAACAAAAAATGTACGATCTCAATCAATATCACACTGATTCGTATGAACAAACTACCATTCGATTTCTTGCAATTTAACGGATCTAATAAGCTAACATTCATTGATTTTAGATTATCCAATCATGAAATAATAGCAATTGTATTATCAGCCGAAATTATGAATCAATAAATTCTACTTTAAATAAAGAAGTCTAGATTTCGAAATACGATCGTGAATATCTCAACTTGGGATGATCCAAAATCAATGAATATTAGCTCATTGGATTCGTCTAATACAGGGAATCGAATGGTAGTATTTGCATATGAATTGGAGCGATATTGACTGAAATCATACATCTATTGTTTTTTTTTGTTTTTTCCATATATAAAAAATCATGTGATATGATGTAATTTCGACTATTTTAACTTTTCATTTCGACTTTGACCTCCAAAATCGAAATATTTCGACTTTTGGGTTTTCATTTCGACTTCATGTATAGTGGTAACTGTAGATGACGTTCTCGTTGAAACTAATCAAGAATTGGCAAATGTGTTTGTAAACCATATTCTTTCACAATGTTTTTTTGTTGTTAAAGAGTTAAAGCTGCAAAATTTCATCAAATTGAGTGTTGGTAATGTGATGATAACAGGAGATACTAGCAATATTTAGTATATCATCTATTGCATTTTCTTTCAAAACTTGACACATTCTACACCCCTTGATCGCATTATGTCATTTTACTCCTGCAAGGTCATTGCCTTGTGGGAGGTCTGCAGTTACACATCCAATGCTAGCAACAATCTAGCAATATTCCTCTTGTATATTCATCACCACTTCTTGTTCCAATTGTTTCATGTCTGCGATAAATGGTCGAATGAAATCGTCGAAGTTACTGCCAAAGAGAACGAAGCCTAAGGCGAAATAGTTGCGAAGATGATTTCTCATATCAAATGGCATATTTCCTAGTTGAATATAGACTCCGCTTAATGAATGGTAAACATTTCGATAGGTTCCAAAGTCATTGTAGTAAATATTAATAAATAACTTTAAAATCAGAAGATGATTATATTGTGGTGAAAGCCAGGTTAGGATAGTATATTCACCTGGATGCATGTAATCTAAAATTACATCTCGTAATTTTTAATAGCCATTATTTTTGTATAAAACTTCTTTAATATAAAGTCCATTAGTATTATTTGAACCACGGATAATTGAAACATTAACCTTTCTAATAAGCTCACAAGTGTTACAATAATGTAACCCTCTTTTAGATGTTAGTCTATTAGCCATAATTGGAATTCATGCATAATTGATCGTGCATTACAACGAAAATGGTTTGGTAATTCATTATAGATATAAATTCTAGGGATGCTAATAGTTACTGTTATGACTGGTTTTAACTGATCATAACCGTGACCGATATTAGTCGGTCAAAGGTTTCTGACTGACCGATTTTGACCGATTTTGACCGACCGGTTGACCAACATTTTTTAATTAGTAATCTATGCTTTAATTAATAATAATTTTAGTGATGTTATTTTTTATAAATAAAAATTTTTAATTTATTCTTAAAAAAAAGATCGTGATAAGCAGCATTACTAAATTATCAATCAAGAACTTTAAATTATATTATTGTAAAATGGGCCGGTCAGCAAAACCGGTCGGTCAACCGGTCGGTCAGTCAAAGGCCTTTGACTGACCATTGACCAACCGCGAACTGATCATGACCGACCGTTACCATCCCTAATAAATTCATTGCACTTTTATTCGAAGTTCATCATTAACGGATATTATTGATCGTATTCATCCAAATCTTTGACTATCTTTTTATTGTATATAATAAATTCACTTGAACAATAAATTTCTAAGTAGAAATGAGAAATATATTAATTAAAAATTTTGTTTATAGTATAAGTAAATCAAAGTAATCTTTATCAATCGTTTTCTCATCTTGGTCAAACAATGGAGACCCAGTCCAAAGCTCTTAATGCCAGAACTCCTTTTTTTATTGACCTCTATTTCTGGTCCAAAGTATAACTTGTCATACAATGATGGATTATTTAATATATTCCAAATAATGTCACTAATCGATAGATAATAGCAAGGTTTCGTTTCTTTAGATGTAGATGGGATTTTCTTTTGGTTTATTCTAATAGAGCGTGTTCTTATTGGCATCAATAGTAAACGTTATCTCCTTTGCCGAAACTTTCTTATATTCTTTACAACATCTTTTATTTCTAATCTTGGGTGATAGAATATGTCAGCTAAATCAGTGTATGCCTTTATTGCTATATTTCAATGTAGATCATTATATGCTTCAATGATTAGTATATACTACAATATTAATAAATAAAGTTTAGACTTTTGAAATATATAAACTTACATCTATTATGTTTTTGTATTCAACAAAACAATAATGCAAATGTCAAATTTTCAAAGTACTTTTCAAATATATGGTTACTATCTAGTGACGCGTCAACTATTTGATCTTTTTCATGCTTTGTTATAAATAGATATTACATTAAAATACAGTAAAGGTAAAAGAAAACAAACAATTAAGAAAAGAAAGAATTACATACATTATTGACATTATTGTCATCATTTTCTCCTGAATTATAACCTTTTTTTATTTCATCTTCATCTACATCATCACTACAATCATCATTAAAGTAATTGTAATCTTTATCATTGCTATAATTGTTATCATCGTCTTCATCATTGTCATTATCATTTTCAGCTATATTATCACCACCATCATTATTGTGATCTTCATCGTCTTTACCGTTTCCATAATCATCATCATCATCATCATCACTGGAGTCATTATCAACTTCCATTACATTTACATTAACTTCTTTATGACTTGCATTTAATACTATTAAAAGAAACAAAGAATATTAAATAGAATTTATTACTAAAATAAAACAGTCTTGATAGTTAAAACTCGAGTCATGAGAAACCAAATTTTATGCAAAAGTGCAGTTGTTCTTGTTTTTTTTTATAACAAAAATAGTTCCTCTGCATGGTTTTTGCTAAGCTATTTAGTTAAAGAACTGAAATTTAGCGTAAATAATAACTACTAAAGGTCTGAACTATTAAGACTGCCTGTATAATCTAATGTATTATTATTTACATGAACTATGTCCTTTAAGAATATTATGTCTAGAAAATTTGCATAAAGAGAAAGGTTTGGTTAATGAAAGACAACTTTTGTGCATTTTTGAAATTTTAAGGTTGAAGAAAATAAAATATATTTTTTTAGAACAATGTCAGAATTTGTTCTTAATTTGGCGTTTAATATAGAAAGTATATTTTATTTATAAGTGTATACAAAAAAGTATATTTTATCCCTGATTTGGTAAAAATATATTGTTTGTTATGCAAACATGACACATATGCTGATTAATGTATAAATAAACAATTGTTTTATAATAAGGTCAGCAAGTAGATAAAGATTAATGCATGTGATAGATCAAGATTCATATTTTACGTTTGTTATAGTTTATTATGGTGTACAAAAGGCACAAAGTCTATTAAATAGTCTGTGTTTTTTATTAATAAATTTAGACTTAAACTATAAAAAAATAATCAGTATTCCCACAATAACTATTTATATCGAAAGAAGGTAAAGCCTAAATCGTAATAAAAAGTCTAATTATTATAAAAAGTGAGTTGTGTATTATAAATAACATTTTTCTTAATAATCAATAAAATTACAATCTCTCTTTTACAACTCGTTATTCACTAATTTTACAACTATCATCCTTGTTTTATAAAGAGCATTGAAAATGATGAATACACAATCAATAAAAGACAATAAAAAAACTTTAGCAAGTAATATAATATCTATTTTAATTATTATGGATTACATATATATTTTTATTTTTTATTTTTATTTATCTAATTACAAATATTTATATATACATTATTGTTATTAATTGCGAATTAATAAATATCTTTTTATTTTATCAGGTGGATGCGGTCATGGGAAGAAAAAGAAGATCAATAAACCTGCTAACGATTTGATCCAAGAAATCTAAGAACAGGCTGTCGTAGCAGGCGAGTTTAATAAAATTTTTGATTTTATCAATTAGATATTTGTAATTTATTTTTTAAATAGGTGGATAGTCGTAGAAAGAGAAAGGATGCTATTTCTACTGCACCTAAAACTGTTATTGCTACAAGTTAGTAAATTATTTATAATAATTTCCAATAAACATGCCATAATAATAATATTATTTTATTAATATAATTAGGAGAGCGTGAAAGAGCTAGTTGTGCAAGAGGTGGTGGTCGTGGCCATGGTAAAAGAAAAACTGTCACAGAAGCTATTTCCTTCGTACCTAATACTTTTCAAAATGACTTTGATAAAACTACAGGTTAGTAATCTAACATTTCAAATTTTCATGTGGATATTCTATAATTTTAATTGCTATTGCGTTAGATAACTTAGATCACAAAAGGAATAGGGTTTATACTACACTTTCTTCGCTTAAAAATGATCATGTTGCGAGTAAGTATAATAAAATAGTATATAAATTATTAAAATTAAATAAAACTTATATTTTTTATAATTAAAAGGTTGTGAAAAGGAAAAACAATTAGTTAGGTCACTAGCAAATTCAAAGCGTCCAACTTCGCCTAAAAATGATGACTGCGATAACGATAGGATAATATCGATGACATCAATAATGGTAATAATGATGATGATGATGTCGAAGGTGATTTCAGTAATGACGTCAATGACAATTTCGATATTGATAATATCGAAGGTGATTTCAGTGATGATTTGAACAGCAATTTTGATGATTTTGGTAGGAATGCATCAGTTATAATTACAAGTAAGAATTTAGTAAATTATTATAAGTTTTCTTTCTTTGAAACTAAAGTTAAAACTAACCTTTTTTATTATAAAAAGAATTAACTAAGAAAAGTAATCCGCTTAACAAACGAACAAAAAAGACTGGAGTCACGAATCTGTTACTATCAGACAGTGAAGAAGAAACGGGTAAATATATTAAATGTATATGATTTGTGTCTTTAATCTACAAAAAATAATTATTTTGTAATAATTAGACTATTATCACAATAAAACAATGAAAGTAATAAAAGACAAAGAAATGACAAAATTTATGAAGACTTTAATGATAGGAAAGAAATTGCCAAACATTACAACAAGAAATCAAGTATTTTTTACTGGCTTTAATCTCATTATTAAATTACTTATAGTTTTAAATGATTTAATTGATTTTTTTTATTAGGGAAACCTGAAGCATTTAAGGATATGACAAATGCTTTGGAGATTTGTCAGTGGCTAGTAAAAAGATCAAAGATACTAACAATGGCATACCAGATGTATAATATGTGAGATATACTATTAGAATTTCCTCTTCTAAATGAAACTTCTAATATCATGAACCTTAAAATTATGTCAGACAAATAAAAATCAAATGCTCGACTTTGGGGTGAAGAAATTAAATGTCTTTTTCTTAGGTGTAGAGAATCATCGGATGAAGCTATCAAAGACTTTATAAAGGAAATATTCAACTATGACCTTTTTAGTGATAATTCTGAAGAGGTCTCAGTCATTCTAAATGAACTCTAGCAGATTTTTGTAGCAAATTTAATAAGAAATTAAAGGGAAAGTCCAAGAATTAAAGGATAAACGATTAAAGGAAAGACTTGAAATAGCCACAATAACAAGATTGGAAGTCAACGAATTTATTTCTCAGGAAGTCATTGAGCAAATATTAGATAGATATTTAAAGGATACCAACAGAAAAATGCTTAAAAATTATAGAACAATGGAGCGGCTTATATTATTTGTCAGGAAGTCATTTAAAGTGCATTATACAGCATACAATGTCAAGGCTATTAAGAAACTCGATAATATTACGATGGACTTTAAAGTACTGAGTAGATCTGGCAAAAATATTGCTTCGAAACTTTCGTTGTAATACAGAAGGAAAATGGTTGTTAGACTAAAAAAAAATTTCTCAAGTTTTTTATGTTTCTTATTCGGGCAAATATTATTAGAAATTTTTAAATTGTATTCTATTAGACATTAGAAATTTTACTTTATTTTATTCATTAATTTTTATTATTCATCTAGTCATATTTTATTCGTTATTATCTATGCTTCATGATTTCACTGCAGTTTTACTGCGTCAAACAATTAAGGCTTTTGATTTAGTGCGATAAGATGCCAAATGAACATATTACTTTTTAATGCAACAAGAATATTTTACTGCAGCAAATGTTAATGTAATTTTACAGTGAACAGTGAACTTAATTTTAATAATTCACGTGGACAAATAAATTTTATCATTTTTATTCAATAATTTTAACTTTTACACTTTAATTTATTTTTATTGTGTTCTATATTCGATAGTTTTAACTTGTATATTTTATTTTATTTTATTAGATTTTATACTTTTACATTTTTAAATTTTATCAAAAAAAAAAAAAAAAGAATTGAAATATTAATTTCATCGCTGATAGGAAGTAACTTTATTTATTCAATTTTAAGTTCTATAATAAAAAAAAATGAAAAAATAGACAAAAATAGAAAAATTAAAGCACTTTATTGTGTTTATATAGCTGACGTGAAGTAATTAGGTAGTAACCTGCTGACATAAACAAAATAATTACTACAAACACATAACCATGTGGTCACATAATGGTTACATACTAAAAGCATTAAAACTGCTAAATCAGGGGTTTCAGCAAAGTAAGTATATCAGTCCTAAGATAGAGGTCATAATACTCACCTAAATTATTGTATCCAAATTTCTTCCATATTTTTTAAGCGTAAAGATAATCTTAGGTAATTTATCTACTAAATTATTTGTAAAATTCATGAATAGGAGTAGGAATGCTAATGGTTATAGTCATGAGTGATCATGACTAGTCATAACTATAACTGATATTGATAGATCAAAAATTTCTGATTGACTGATTAATCGACTGATTTTGATTGATTTTGACCGACTGATTAATCAAACATTTTTTAATTAGTAATCCAAAAATTCTTTGCATTTAATTAACAATTATTAATTAATGTTTTATAAATAAAAATTTTAATTTATTTTTTAAAAAAAAGTTTGCGATAATGCTATAAATATGAATATACATATCGAGTTAACCTAAAAGAAATAAGTAAAAAATATAAAAAATTAGAGTTTTAGTAAATATTTTGTTAGTATTATTTAAACTTAAATTAAAATTATTGATTAAGAACTTTAAATTATATTATTGTTATATGAGTCATCTACTGGTCAATATAACTGATCGGTCAGTCAAAGGTCTCTGACTGACCATTGACTGACCATAACTAACCATTACCATCCCTAAATAAAAAGTTCTGTTTTTAAGAATTTATTATGAAAATCAATATACTCATAGGAATAAACTCCTTTATAACTTACTATTACTCAAATTCTTTGTAAGATTGGCTAGACTAGTATTCATAAATTGCATATTATTTATATACTTGAGCTGATCTACCTTTATAGATTTATAGCACTCAAATGTTTTGGCTATAACTTTGATTTGATATGCTTAACAGATCATCTGATAGATTTACAAACCAAGTGAGAATATAGCCTAGAAATTATAAAAGACTACTGTATAGGTGTTTTTAAAGTATAAATTGAAGTTTAAGATTACAGGTATTGTAAGATGCTTCTTGAATCTATAACCTTTGCTTGATCAATTACCTAAACTACTTTGAGAATTTGTTTTATTAAGGTCTTATAGATTTCTGAATCCTTAGCAGTATTTTCTAGCTTATTATCGAGCTATTATGTCTTATTTTTTAAGCATTTAATTTCATCCCTATCTATAGCGAATTTTCCTTTATAGATCCAATAAGTATCTGCTTTGGCAAATTTTTCTTGTTTTTCTCAGTTTCTTCTCACTTATACTTAATAACTAGAACATTATTTATTTTTACTAATTCCTGATCAATCCTTCAAACAAATTCTTATGTGATATATTTTTCCTATATAGAAAAGGTCTCTATACAGCTTCAGTATTGATTCAATGAACTAAATAACAGAAGCTGTTAGCCTTTTGCTCAGTTAGCTTAACTATACTTCCATCATATATCTCATTACATTTGTTATTATCAACCTTGAAATGTTATAATAATATATGTGACATTGATAATTTGCCCATAGTTTTTGAATTGTCTCAAAATCATTGATTCCTTCTACAGACATTATACTCTTTGAAAAGCATTTCATATAATCCTAAATATAATTCTAAATAATATTCTAGGAATTTTTTGGAGGGCTAGTTTTGAAAGCATCTATTACATAAATACTTCTTAGCTTTATATGTATTCTCTCCATAAATTAATCTACTAGGATTCTTAATCAGAGAAAATGGTTCTTTTGTATATACTTACCTGTATTTGTAAGGACTAATAGATAAATTTTATGTTGTTTCTTAAGTTTTTACTGGTTATTATAGGTTTAGAAGTGGTTGATTCTTCTTTTCACTTCTAGACACTAATAAAGATATCTGGATGCTTTTTCTCAATCTTTTGAAAAGTTTATAGACAAATTGAAGTAGGAATTAGAATTTAATCTAGCTTGATAACATCTAAGTAGGGCTTAAGCTTTTTAGCTTTAAAAATTCTAGAGGTATATAGTAATCATGTATAGTATGGATTTTCATGTATGAAATGTATGGTTTTACAATTGATGTAAAACTATACCAGTATGAATTTTAGATTAATAATGAAAGTAAAAAATAAACAATAAAAAAAAAAATAAAAATAAAATAAAAATAAAAATAGAAAAAATAAAAAAAAAATGATAAAAAAAAAAACCTAAGAAGGAAGTCTGGGAGGTATTCAGTATCCTTCAAAAAAAATTTATATTAACATATTTATTTTATTCATTCAAAAAAGTGGCTTCCACTTTATATACTTTAATCATCTATTAGATAAATATTACGTATTATTTACAATTCCATAAAATTTTAATAATAAATAAAAACAAATCTGATTTTAATGTAATATAATCTATTATACTTTAACTATATAAATTACAAATATAAGGTTAACGTTCATATTAAAAATATTTTTAATTTGTACAATTTTTCAAGTCTAAGACAAATAACGAATTTATAGAATTTTTCTAATAGTTCTTGAGTTTTACTTGGAAGCTTTTGGAATATTCTTGTACATCATCACAATACTAACCTGTATCTTTTTAAAAATGCTAGTAACCAACATTAAGACATTTTGAAATTTTCTGCTAGACCCTATAAAGTTCTAATATATCTGCTTCTCTTAAAATATCAAGCATTTTATTTCGTAAATTGCATACGATACAACTAATTCTTGCTTTTTTTATTCGATAGTCCAATTATACAGCTTTTGTTTAGCCTTAGAAAAAAAGGCTTTTCGGCCTGAACCAGCTCTCTTACTTTTTTCATTGGTTTCAAAATTCCAGGTTGAACTTACCATTACACAATGTTTTACTATACTACAATCGATATTAAAATATTTTGCTACTTTATTATTTTCTCTTTCTTTTGCATAATTAACAACTAGTTTCTTTTGCTTTATAGAAAAAGAGGTATGTGCGCGTTTGATAACTTTACAATCTTTTTTTTACAATTTTTTTGATGTCATAATTATGTTATATGCATTCAAATCTTATCTAAAAAAGGTTTGAACCAATTGAACCAATTCGCAAGTTCGCATATGAAATAAGTTGAGCAAACTTCGGGGAATTTGTTAATAAAAAAAATTAAAATTATCTGAAAATAAGCAACACTATAGTAAAATGTTTTCTTATTTTCGGAAGAATATGATATATTAAACTTAATAAACTATATTTGCCTGACAAAACTCCTGGGTTTAGACAGATAATTGAATGTTGAAAATATCAAAACAATAATAAAATCATA